TGGCAGGGGCTGTTGCGGGGGCAGTGTTGGGGGCGGTGCCGGGGGTTTCTTCTGCTTGTCGGTGTTTTGTTGATGCTGCTTTTGCGCCGGATAGTGGTAGGGTTGCTTTCGGGTGTGCACTATTTTCTCCGACGAACTGTTTTCTTGCTGCTATTAATGGGGAATTACTATGTTCTCCGGACCCTCTTATGGCGGAGGCTATGGCGTGTCGTGAAGCTCTATCATGGATCAAGACGCTTGATATTCATAACATGGAGATCTTGATGGATTGTCAACGTGTGGTTTCAGCAATTTCAGACACTTCATTCTCTCTTACTTCTTATTTTGGTTCATTAATTGTTGAATGTAAGGCCTTGTTGGTCGGTTTTTGCTCTAGTTCTATCAGTTTTGTTCGTAGAGAGTTAAACGTTGTTGCTCATTCTCTTGCGAGGAGAGCAGAGGCCCGTCGTTCTTTTTGGGTTTCTACTCCCCCGGATTTTGTAATCTCTCTTTTACAATAATGAAGTTTCTTTACTTTCAAAAAAAAAAATTATCCTATAAATGAAATTAGTTTAAGTGTACAAAAATCTAAAACAAAATTAGTGTATACTGTCTGTCTCGCTACCACAATTATGTTTCACAATTAATTAGGCATGATGATAATTAAGAAAAGTAAAATTGTATGATTAATTTTGAAAATTTTGCAGAGAAGAGAGAGCAGAAAATTTTCAAAAGTAAAAGTATGAAACATTATGGAAAAATTACCCAAAATAATCCCAACTTTACCTGGTCTTTCAAAAATAATCTCACCTTTCACTGTGATGCATAATAATCCCAACTTTACCGAAATTTGCCAGTTTTGGGTCGCCGTTAAGTTTCTAACAGAGGGTTAACGAAAATGCTCGTTTTAGGCAACAAAATGAAAGTTGAGATTATTTTTGATGATTTTTCATTTTTTTTTATTTTTTAAATTTTTCATTTAAATTTTTTTAAATTACTTTCTACCTCCATCATCATTTCTTTTTCCTTTTTTAAAGATTAGTCTTAGTTTAAAAAATAAAAATAATAGATATAAAAAATGAAAAAATGAGAAATGTAACTAAAATGATACAAAAATAATAAAATAAATAAGGTAATCAATGGAAACTAACTTGAAATTGGTAAAAGTAAAATAAAAATATATTGGTGGGTTTTAATATTTTATGTATTATACAAAGTATTAACATATCACTTCTTATTTTTTAGAAAAAATTATCTACAATAATTCCAACTTTACTAGACGGCTTGTTCTTTTAAAAAATAAGTTGTACATAAAGACTCCGTATAGTGTGTAAAATGTTAAAACCCACCACTCCGTATATATTTATTTTATTCCTTACCAGTTTCTGTTTAATTTCTATTGATTACATTATTTATTTAATTAATTTTGTATGGTTTTAGTTATTTTTCTCATTTTCATTATTTTTTATATCTATTTTTTTTCTAATGTAAGAATAATCTTAAAAAAAGAAAAAGAAATAGAGGTAGAAAGTAATTTAAAAAATTTAAATGAAAAATTTAAAAAAATAAAAAAAAATTGAAAATTCATCCAAAATAATCCCAACTTTCATTTTGTTGCCTAAAACGGGCATTTCCGTTAACCCTCCGTTAGAAACTTAACAGTGACTCAAAACTGGCAAATTTCAATAAAGTTGGGATTATTATGCATCACAGTAAAAGGTGTGATTATTTTTGAAAAACCAGGTAAAGTTAGGATTATTTTGGGTAATTTTTCCAAACATTATTGGGGTGAAAAGAGTATAAGTTAATGCGAAAAGGCTAATGGGTACATACACATACACACATATAATACTCGAATATCATGAGTATATTTATATTTATATTTTCATTAGCTTAGTATTCGAATCAAAACTAATATTTAAATTTGTATTTGATTTATTTACAACTCTATTTGTCAAAATCCATCGATTACCTTCTCAAATTAAACTCTTATTCAATTGATTCACAATATTTCAAAATTTTGTTCTACCTTTTATTAGTCATAAAACTTTATTCATTTTGCTGACCTATTTTCTTACCCATTTGGTAAAATAATATAGTCATATCATCTTTAATTTTATAGATCTTTTAATGTAGTAATACGTAATTTTTATTTATTTTATTCTATACCATATTTCGTATAAATTGATTTGAAAATAACTTCAGTCAAATATAATAACACATAACGGAAAGATAATTTTTAGACGGATGAAGTATAAAGACACAAACTTTATAACCCATATTCCTAATACCAATTGCCCTCTGTCGGTCATATGAACTATGAACCACAACAAATGGCATATATTTTTTAGACCATCCACTAAATTCACGAGACTGATGATTATGTCTAATGTATCTTCCATCCTTGGCTAATAATTTCTGTTCTAATTGTGGATTAACTCCACACATCTTATCAAATCTAATTTTCATCCGAGTCCATTCTTTTTTTTTAATTATTCATTATAACTTTTGTGGAGATAAATGTTTGAGAATGATTAACTTTTGAATAATGTGATTTTTACAAAAATTTAAAGTAAAAGTATTCATGTATCTACTTCCTTTTTTGCAACGATGTTTAATATGCAAAATGAAGATGGGAAAAAACAAAAGTTCACATATCAAACAGCGTAAAATGACTATCACCTAAAGTAGAATTCACCGCTTGGCGTCACACCCATTTCCAGTGGTCTTAGAATTATTT